CGCGTGAAATGAAATGAACATGATGCAAACGCTTGCGCCTTTCGTCATTGCTAACGGGACACTAAAAAATGAAACTTATACTACTCTCTTGTGTCGTGCAAATCATTAATTAAATCCGTGTTAAAAGATGTAAACGAAACCGGTCTTCATCTCGAAACGAGTATTCGTGCAATTTTTTGGTGAGAAGAAAACAGCTGTCTGCATTTATGTAAAATTTTTAATTATCTCCAGTAAAAAAATATCAAAAAAATATAGCATACGCTGTTAATATGTTTTTAATTAACGAGATAATTTTTTCCGGTTATTAACTGCAATGCAAGCATCAAGTTTATCACGATAAAATTTATCACTAGTGTTAGGTGACGTTAGTGATAAACGTGCGCGAGCGCTGCGATTTTTATCCGGACGAGATTCAGTTCCCAGAACTTGAGATGAGCGAGACGGTTCTGGTCCACTAAAACCTAGACCGTATTGTAGACGCACTAACGGGTGAGCGTTTCGAAGCATCGAAAGCGTTAGATTTCACAGGCTGATCCACATTAAGGAAGTCACTCGAGTATAAAGATAGGAACTTGGATAAGTCCTGCCATAAGATGGCCCAAATTAACAAAGTAGACCAAGCGTAAGTTACGACTTAAAAAGATCCTTAAAAATCATTGTAATCCTACAAAAAAGATTTACAAAATACTTTCAGTATATTATCTGGCAATTTGATTTTGAAAATTAATAATAATAAAGGCAATTAAAGCTGAACAATAAATTAATAATTTCATGTTAAAATAATAAATTTCGTATTAAAATAATTGCATGCTCTTTTCCTTATGAACTGTTTAGATTTTACTTTCAAATATTTTTCTCCTGCAAGTGTCAGTTCATTGAAAGCGTAATTCGTTTCGTGGAAATTAGAAAAAAAATCAACAGCTAATTTATTCCTGCTTCCTGCAACTAAGTGCCAATTTCCATATGCTATCTGACGAACACGACGATGTGTCACGGAGTGCGGGTTTCATGAGCGAAAAGAAAAGTCATGCGTACGCTAACGCGCGTAGGTGGTCGGGACACATTCGCGCGTACTTTTACACGTGCGTGCATGCGTGTGGGAGTACGACTACACACGCATGCACGTGCGAACTTACGATCGAACGCACGCGTTTCTCAGTCTCGCATCGCAGACTTTTCCCACACATGGTTCTTAGACACGGCTCCCTTTTCTGTTCTCCTTCTAGGCCGACTTTGCCTCGTCCTACAATCCCTACCATCGCCCGTTTCCATACTCTTCTCGCTCCTCCATTTCTTCCTCTCGTTATTCCTTCTCGTCGTCGTCGAACGAACAACCGTTGTATAATCGTGGTTTGCCATATACGACATTATGATTTCGCGTAGGCTCTCACTCGCGATTGGAAGTTATCTCTGGAGAGATTATGAGATCCATATCGATAACATAATTTCGAAAAATAAGGTTAATAACGGTAAAAAGAAAATTTATACCAAGCTAATGTTTTAAGTTAATGAAACGGATATTATTAACCGATTTTTCAAACCAGTTTTATGCATTTCAAATTTTGCACACACGGAAAGAACAATTTTGTTGAAAGACCTAAAAATTTTGGTAAAAGCAGATCTGAAAATTTTTTATTGAATCATCAAAATAATTTGTTGGAATGTTAAAACTGATAAGTGTTGCTATAAAATGTTTTGATATTCTAGCAATCATTTTGACTTTCGCACAAAATAATTTTGACTATTGAACAAAAATTATTTTCAAATCTGGATTCAACAAAATTGTTCTTTCCGTATACAAATATATAATTATGAAAAACATTCAACTAAATTGAACCCTTCGATCGAAGGTCTTTTCATCTTGGATGTACAAAAATATATTTTTTTAAATTGTTTAAATATTTGATACACTCTATATTCCGATTATTCTATAAATAGTAAGTAGTATCGATTTAACTTTTGCTATCGTTTGTCCACATGACTGCAGTAGCAAGCTATGTGTAACAGTAAACATTGAACAACCATAAAATATACCGAGTAATCAGGTATTAGATCCGTCTGCAGCGACATCAGCTACGGCAAGGTAAAGTTAATAAGCCGTAGCGAAACGGATGAAGTTTGAAGGATGCGCGTAGCAACGACACGGTCTCTTGATCACGAAATCAAAGCTGGAGGCGAGCAATAACGAAACTTTGCTTTCGTTCGTGGAGAAAAGCGAAAGAGGCGGTTTTGTGCCTTCTGCGGGCGAGTTTCCGGTTCCTTCCTTCCTGCATCGGGCAGATATCACCTGGCGATGAGTCAGAGAAGTCGCTTCCCAGACACCTGCTGTCAGAATCGCGTAGCAGGTTCCATCCGCCATTAGCCACGCGTGTGCTCTCCCTCAAGGGTCGAGCGCTACCCAGCGCTACCTAAGTACTTGTGTGCGCCCTCGATACAAACATGCGCCTGCGTCTTACTCTATTGTCACCGAAACGAGTCCCGGATTCATGGGCCAGCGGCTTGTGACATCACGGGACCTTCGGGCACTCCTGTCTCTCGAGTTTCTTCGTTGCCTTATTTTGCAGACGCAAATTAAGTTCAGTTCCCTTTTACCGCAAAACGAAGGCGAAATCTCGCTAAAATCGTATCACTCGAATCTATACGTCGATCAAGATAAGAAAAACGCAAAGGCACAGTCGTATGGCGAAGTTAAAATAAAATTGTCAAATATAAAATAATTAGTGCAAATGTGTGGTCGAGAAAGGGTCGCTAAATGTCTCTGTTGATCGTGTTGATTCCCTCTGACAATGAGTAGCTAATCTCTCTAAATTGACATCACGAAGCATACATCTGCATCACGTGACTCGCGAAACAGCTGTATTCCGGCAGCGAGGATGGCACGTGTTGGTACCTATCCTATATACCTTCGCTCTGCCAATCGCAAAACTAAATCCTAAGGGAAGATCGGGTCAGGTGTACACCGATCACCAGCAGCTGGAAGATACGGCTTTTTTCATTTTGGGTAACATCGCCGTTTTTGCTTCACAGAGATGTGCCTCGAATGGTATTTTGTGATCAATCATCGCGCTATTTAGAGCATGTCATGAAATACGAGCATGTCATCTAATACGTGAAGTAAATAAAGAATTCCTTAAAAAAAGATATCACGATAATCTACACCGTTACGTGAGCTCAACAATTACATTAGCGTGTAGATTTTGGCGCTACTTTTTTCGGTTTATTATTAGACAGGAAGTCTCACTCATACAGCCGAGAAAAATCCTTAAGTTTCCAAATAGTAGGTACAAATTACTCGTACAGTAAATACTAAATATTTTATCCATAAGTTTTTTTTATATGGGAATCTAAGACACGCACAACATAAGCTTTAATTATGTACAACTACAAGTGTGGGGTTCAGATCGTAACATATAATAACGTTATATCCTTATAACGGATTATAATGGAGAAACCAGATCATCGAATACGGAAATCGCGTAAAACAGAAGCACTGTGCAGTGCACGGTGACACCAGAGTGACAAATAGTAATGGAGAAAGCTGTATTGTACGTTACAACTATGGGAACAATTGTAGCGTGTAGCGCAAAAATGCATTAAATGTGTGCGTTTGAAAGACCTAGCGGGTTGCTTTCTATCCTTTTACGCTGTCGCGAAGAATGGGAAACTTTAACCGGATAAGAGACATTTAACGCAATGATGCGCGTACGAATACGAGCGAGAGTAACCCTTCGTTTCGTATTAATGCGGTGGAAGGAGGTGGGTGGAGTGTCGATAAATGGCGGGGGTATTAAGAGATGTTGCTTTCTTATGATTATTGTTGGCGGTGAGAATGAAAGCTACGCCTCTTTATGAGAGTGACCGCGAGAGAAACCTTGAACCTCGACTGGGTTGGCGTGGGTGCAGAAAGCGCACGAACGCGCCAGGACGATGGCATGGGATCGTCCGGAAACAGAAGCAAAATAAAAAACGTTTTTATTAATCACCACGCGTTACAATTTCCATCATTATACCTAATTACATTCGCAAAATCAGCTGAAATAATGCCTATTGAATTTAAACTAGTAGTAATTAAAAAATAAAATTTGGTTGGATATACAAAAGAAATATTTTTCAGCAAAATAATAAAATATCAAAAAATTGGTAATGATAAATTGAAATAAGAAATAGTATATATTTTTTACAACATATATATATATATACATATATAATGTACATGTATATATATTTTTTCTTTTTAGTGTATATATTTTATATACCAAGACAGATGGCATTAATCGATTCATCGGCACAAATGAACAGGCTCAAATACACGAATAGCCTAATTGCTTCCGGAAGTTTCGCTTGGATCGACGAGTTGTTCCATGACAGGTGTTACGAAAATAATAAGAGGGTTACGTATACCATTACTATTACACGGATGTAGTATTCGATAAGTATTAACTCTCAGTGAATTATTCATGTTGCATATACATATATGCATCATATTTGGAGCACTCACAAATTTTTGAAAGATATAAAATTTCCTTATTATAAATAAAGCAAATGCTTTTTACTAAGTCTTTAATAATCTCTCAATATTTTCGGCAAATGTGTCAATAAACGTAAATCAGTACATGGGAACACAAACCAGTGTGACAAAATACCTTGGACATTGCAGCACCGTTACGTACGGTAATCTAGGTAAACAGCTAGAAAGAACTATTCCCATACCACTTCTTTTCGTAACGCATTCGTAACGGCAAGACAATATTTGTCACCAGATTAACAGCAAGAACAAGATATTTTCTGCAATTTTCTCAAATGAGCAAGCTACCGATTTTATTCACTTGCAATTTTAATATTATATTATAGAATTAAATATTATTTTAATGTATCGAAATTTCAATTAGAATTAATTTTATTTATTTGTATATTCTGTTTACGTGCAAGAATAAAATTTTAGTGATTATATCCTTAAATTTTATATAGTGCTAAAAGAAAAAAAATATAGTTGAGCGCCATTTCGAGTTGCTCAAAATGGAGTATCGACAAGGGAGCATAGATCAGTGCCGCGCAATCTGAAACTTGGTAATCCACAGGAACTAAACCTACTCCCCGAAGCTCCTTGAACACACCGTACGCGTAACCTGCGATTTGCTTCTGGTAATCGTCGGTGCTTTATGCGCGTTCTGTCGAACGAACCAATCGTGATCGTCCAACGATGAAACGCTTCCCCGCTTCTTCGAGAGATCGAAGATTTTTATGAACGTACACCGCGAAACCGTTGAGCGTCTTGCAATTGCGATGGAAACAATTCGCAAGATCTACCGTAAAAACGAGTACACAGCTACAAACAAACGAAAAAATCTTAAAAAAATAGGCTTTTTATTATAATAATGTTAATTTCACCAAAATGCTAAAATTATTAAAATCATTGCGAATTTATAATGAAAGTTCCACCAGATTCTCTGATTATCCATCGATTGTCTTATTTGTATTCTGCTAGTATCGTCGCAGAACTCACAGATTAATAGCGCCCTCGAAGTTGCTTATTTAACATGATCGACACAAAACACGTCGGGAATGTATGTATTATATAGTTCCCCCTCGGTAACGTTATCGATGCTCCGTGGCTGTTATGTCGCTATTCTCGCTGGTGACTATCACTTGAGGGATGGGAACGTAGATACATATGCATTTTTATCGCAAGCGTTTAAAACCGTTATTCACCACGGCTGGCAGCCTGTAAACGATAACGCGGGCGTCTAAAGATTATCCACGACACTTTAACGAAGTCAAAAACACTCGGCAGGCTGTTACGCGGTAAGCATCGACGATATAGCCCGCCAAAACAAGTCTCGTATCGTCGCTTCGTCAGTAAGCTTGCACCGATGGTATGCACATTGATGGAAGCTGAGTACACATCCCAGCTTCCACCAATCCGTTTCGGAACTTTACAAGCCGATTAAACGGTCTAGCAGTATTACGCGGAGGAATATTGCAACCCGGAAATGCAATTAATCTTTTATAAGCAATTCCGCTCGACATCTATACCTGTTGTGTATTCGGTATCCGTTCATCGGTGATTATTAATAATACCGACGACATCTTTATGCATGACGTACGATCGCGAAATTAATAAATATAAGCTCTATAGCTGCACATATACCGGCTCGCAAATGTTTGTCGTGAAACTATTACTACGGTCACGGAGGAAAAACCGACGCTGTTACGCCGTTTGTTTTCTATTCGTAACACAGGCGAGACAAAGCAGTTACCACACCCTGGCTGCGTGCGCGGTTTGCGCTTAAAACACTTGTATTACATGTCACGTAAGGCGCAGTATTAGTACGCGTGCCTCACGACCAGACCTCGCCAACTTTTACAGAATGTAACATCTCTTAGATTAGCATTCGTGTTTCTTTAAAATAAAATCAATATGTTTTAGGAAAAAAAAACGGACAAAATATATGTCTATGTCAAAGAATTACTTATTTGATATTTCTTAAAAAAAAATTTAATCGTACGTAAATAAAGCCTCGGATAAATCTAACACAAATGAAGAAGATTTTTTTGTTTCACGGGGAGTGGTTAATTCTCGCGGAGATAGTTATCACCTCAAATTTGTGCAGGCGATAAATCATATTTAATACGACAGTCTCGGATCGCCTCTTATAATGCGTAATACGAATAAATGTGACCTCTTCCTCTGGACTTTGGAACTGGGATGGTCGATGTCCCTAACTGAGCAAGTAGCGTGACTACAGATGTTGTAAAATTTACCATTAAAAGGCGAGAAGTTTACAGTAAGGCCGAGAGAGACCAATACTCACGAGAGAGTTAAAAGCAGTCTCACGATCCGGTTCGAAAGAAGTCCCCTGCACGTGTCCCACCACTTACCGGTCATGAATATTTACGCACGTTTCGACGGTCTTTTAGAACAGCGTGCTTAAAGATTTGGCGATGGATTGTGTTCATAAATCGCGGACGGTAAGACTCGTAAAAGTCTTTAAGAAAATAGCAAACAAGAATCAATGCGTGACATCTTTTGAATACCAAGGACCACAAGTTTTTGCATTTCTGTTTGCACAAATATACATATGTGTTGGCCTTATTGTAGATACAAATTATTTTCACGCTCTCAAACTCGACATAATTTTTACGATAGCTTTTTTAACGCACAAATTTAAAAAATTTTATAAAAGAATTAAATATTGCTGTAAACTTAAGTTTTCTATTTACCGGTTATTGTTTTAATTGGTACTTTCATATAAATTTCTATTAATTAAATTATTTGATATCATTATTACTTCACGTGTAACATGCTTGTTTGCGCCTACTTGCGTCGAGAAAGTCAAACAGCACGATCGTTCAGCGGGTTGCATATACTTAAGGTGCCTGTTATACCTTCGAAACGCGTACCTATACTGTAAGATCACATGTGTGTGTATGCATGCATGTAACATGCACGTATGCATATATATGTTTTTTTTGTGTGCACTTTTCTGCACAGATACCCTTTTTTATCCATAATCCAATAAGATACATTTATGGAATTCACTAATTATATTTAATGACAGAAGATTCAGCAATATTCAATATTCAGATTCGTGCTACTGCAATATGTCTTACCTGTACGGCACTGTTGAGGAAACAATTGTTCTGCCCGGGTCCATTGAGCAAGCCTTTCGTGCTGGTAAAGCTGCTGTTGTGCTCCCGATGCGGTGATTTTTGACAACCTTGCACCTGTCCTTCCGCCTGATGGCATTGTGCAGATTGCAGATAACCGGCAAAATCCACTGTGTCTTGGGATGCAGCCTGCTGCTGCAATCCCATTGTAGACGCCATGCTCGAGAAATCAAAGTAGAATCATCTGTAAACATTCGCAATAAGCATTTATTTATAACAATATCTTATTTCTTGTAAAATTTTTAGATAAAATTCGCACAATCGTTTTAAAAAAATATATTTATTTTAATAAAATATAAATAAACATATAATAATTTTTCTCTTGTAATAAAATTGTTTTGCATCTATTAAAAAATATTATCAATGTTGAACAAAATTTTATCCAGTTGTGGTATGCACAACTTAAAAGAAAACCTTTATTATGCCTTAAAACGTGGCAATGAACCCAACTCGTACCATTCGCGGGAACTCGTAAAACCAAGTTAACGAGGAAACTACGAAGTATAATTATAGGGGAAGATCAGGAAAAATCGGTTTACGCGTATACGGAAATGCAATGTAAGATTTTATGGCCCGTGCCTCCAAAGAAACCGATTACGCACACATGTTCGTTGGGTTTCAGTTTCAATTCTCCTAATTAAAAACTTAAATGATTTTCTTGCATTTTTGCGGAAAAAAGAAACCCCAGGATGGAGGAGGGAAACATCGCCTCGAGTGTCTCCTTTAAAAAGGCGAAATCATCATAAAGAGTCATATATGAAGAGCAAAAAACGGCAAAAGGAGCGAGAACATCAGCCACGTTAAATGCTACTACCACAGCGAGTGGACGGTTAATTTCGAAGAGCCGAGAAAAGTGGTCGGAGCGAATACGTGCTTGAGAGCAGGCCTGGCGCCAGTCTTGTCGTCTTGGCTTTCAGGCTTCGGATACAATACTCTGGTCACATTCTTCTACAGACATACTCCCACCATGCTCGGTGTTGCACTTATTACGAAGTCGACGAAGAAAACCAGACGTGTCTGGCTACGTCTACGTTTTCAAATTCAAAAACAAAGTCGTACGTTACTTTCTCAGTAACTTATAACTAAACTTAATAATTGAAATTTTTTTCGAAAGCAATTATTTATTGTGTTTTTTCATTACTAATTAAAATAATTTTAATGACTAAATAAACTGTTTAATTAACACTATTAATAAAAATTTGATTTTATATGTATGTAATATATAAAATTTATACACGTAATTAATTTAAACATGTTAAAACTCATTCTAGATATATATAGATCATTCGAATATATAAAAAAATCTTAGAGAATGCAATGTTAAATTATTTATCAAAGGCACAATCAGACGAAACAATTCTGATCGCGGAATATCTATCAGCATAAAATCGAGAGACATGGAAGTATATTACGAGATTGTCGTATTGTAGAAGCCATCAAGAGTCGGGAAATAGAACACAATGATGACTGACAATTGCATTGATCCGTCCCTCTTCACAAACTGCATGACAAACGCAAATAAAACATAAACGCATGGCTCCCGCGATTTTCCAATGTTCATTTTAAAATTACGGGTTTACGGCAAATGACATTTATACATATATCTCAAGTTGACCATGTGCAAACTGCGAGTAAAAGCAGGACTAGTTGGCCTCCCGACGTGTCGTCCTGCGTTTGCTGTCCTTGGCACGGCACGCAAAAGGAATTTCCATTTACACGGCATGAGTCGCGGTAACCAAGAATACCCGATTTCACGCCTCTTTCGAAGTTGCTACACGATACCGTGATACAAAACGGACTATTGTCACGCACGCGGATCTAATTTTAGATAACGCTACCCGAACGGGAGATATCAACAATGACGTCGAACGCTAATTTTTCACACTCAATGAAAGCGGTGGATATAAAAAATATACATGCGCTATTAATAATTTAACATTAATTATCCTTTCGTTTTTTTATTTTACATGTCAATTGTTTAGGACAATATAAACTGCCTATATCATTCTCTAAAAGCATTCATTAATTTTATTATAACTTATACTCTTCGGCCATGTCTTATATTAAAATGTGATTTTAAAATTATAATTTCTCGCTATTTACGCAAACATTATTACTTCACTGTTCTATTAAAAAGCTAATAATGTAACTCAAAAGTAAAATACAATAATAATTGACAGTTGTATAAATTAATTCCTAACATCTTTGTTATATTATAGTAATAACAAATAATATATTTTTAATAATTTTAAAATATAAAATTCTTTAAAAAAAACTTCAATTTTAGGGTGAATAAGAGCAAAAGATAATATTCCGGTACCGGGAATCGAACCCGAGCCTCCTGGGTGAGAGCCAGGTATCCTAGCCACTAGACCATACCGGATCACGATGACATCTCTTCTCTCACAGTTTCACAATGATCCAGAAGCAACATCCCTCTCGGACAATGTTACACTCGTGAGGTTGCACTTCATTTGTAATCCGGTATGGTCTAGTGGCTAGGATACCTGGCTCTCACCCAGGAGGCTCGGGTTCGATTCCCGGTACCGGAATATCTTTTGCTCTTATTTATCCTAAAATTAAAGTCTTTTTTTATAAATTTTAAATTTTAAAAGTTTAATAAAAATATATTATTTGTTATTAATATAATATAACAAAAATGTTACGAATTAATTTATACAACTTTGTCATTCCCGGTACCGAATGTTACATTTTTTGCCCAAAGTTATAATATTTAGATATTTTAGATCAAAAATATTATGCTATCTCTTTCCTAAATTTATTTAAAAAATATATTAATTTGCTTTTTTAATGTTGTAGACAAATTCTAAGTATTTTAAATATACACATTAGGATATTATTCTTGCGCAATCACTAAATAATATAAATATTTAATACATTACAAAAAGGAAAATCATAAATTTATAATAAAATATTTGCTGCCAAATAATTAGAAACTTTTATAATAATAATCTAATAATTGTGAAAATAAAGATCGCTTTTTCTGAATATTTTGTACTTTTTTTGTACAAGTTTTATATTAATATTGCATAAGTTACAATTCCTCTCTATAATGAGTGTTGTTCGATGCTTCGCAGGTTCCGAAATACGGAGAAATTTCCTGAACGACGACAGTCGTCTCCCTCGCGTACGTGTTGTGAATGCTAATGAAACCGCACCTCTCTCGTATAATAAATGCACGAAAGTGTATATTTATAGAAGCACAACGACACTGCAATGATTTCTTCTTTTTTTACGTCCAAGACACACAACTTTTTAATTTTTTCACAAACATTCAGCGACGATGATAACGGTAACGTAATTTCCTTAAAGGAAGAGAATAACTCGTGTCTATATATAACGAATAAACCACGAGATAGAAGAAGGAACGCATACACAAGATCGCACAATGACGCGAGGAGGATGGAAAACGAAGAAAGAGTACGTCGTGAATTATGGCATAAAGTTTAGACGCCGTGCTATCGCGCGGTTATTTTCGCGACACCGTCGACGAGATGTTGAGGAGAAGAAATTGTCGGAGGCACCGCCGCTGCTGCCGCCGTGATGCTGATCCCCTCGTAAGAAAAACATGCAAATTAAACGGCGCTGCCAATCCAAGTCCGAAGACTTTTACGCGCAGGACCGTTTGGCGGATGTCTAGCGGTTGTAAAAGCCCAGCATGCACGTGCAAAGCGGCGTCTACAATGAGACTTAAGATTTAAGAAAATTGATCAATCATAGTCCATTATTCATCATACGTGAGAAAAATAATCGATTGTAATCAATTTTCTTAAATCTTAAGTCGCATTG